CTGGGAGTTGAAGTCCACTCATCTTAAAGTGGCCAAGTTTGGACAACACTGCACTAAGGCGACCTTCGTTCTAACTTGGGCAGGATCCCCTGGCAATTTGGCTAGTTTAGGCTTCCCGGCATCAGTCAAATCCAGAAAGTGAGCCGGGGCCATCGACAGGTATGTCACGTGCAAAAAACTAGCAGGGTTTGAATCATGGGGTGGTACTTGCCATATTGACCTTTCTGACCTTTCTCGTAGACACCCCTGAAATGAGTGGCTAGTAGTCAGAATGAATGTATAATGTGAATCTACCCAAACAGTTTTCTGCGGGTGGAAGTCCCTTCCCTTCCTGTTCTTTTCTCGCTTGCCGTTCCACCTCGTCCTTCAGGGTTACCTTCCCTTTTTCTGATCACACATCCCCGCGAACCAAGTAGGAAGAGGCTGGACAGCTGTCCTGATTAACTGCCTGGCGGAACCACCCTTTGGCCATAACTTCCATGCCCTTAACAGCGTTTCTGAGAAAGCCTTCACCCTCCAATAACCTTTTCCCGGTCTTCACGCTTTCCCTTTATGACAGTCCTGCAAGCCAAGCCGTAAAATAGTCCTCTTTTATTGGGCTCGATCAGAATGAGGCCTAAAGGGATGGCAGTGTCACCCGAGTTGCAGAATTCCTGGATGCTTTCTCCTGGAACAGAAATAACGCCAGCTGAGGGTTGGCTAAATTGTTTGGAAATTACAGGCAAGGGGGTGCAATGTATCCGAAGCCTGGGCAGATCAAACTAGGCTGATCCATCTTGATGTCTCTCTAGGTAGGACCCCAGATGCTCCCTCAAACCAGACATTCAACCTTAGATCCTCTCTGGCCCATCCTCCCCTCTGCTTATGAAGCTGCTTCTCCCGGGGGGCGGGGGGGCATGAGAAGCAGGTCCCTTTCTTCCCCTCCTTGTCTGCAAAGCCCCAGCGGGAAGCTTCCTCCAGCTGCTCCTTCCATCCAGAGACCGGGGACAGCCATTCCCTGAAGCTGCAACAGGTAGGCACCGTGCTTTATTGTCGCGTTCTCTTTGTCCTTCTTTGAACCCAGAGCCGTTCGATTTGGAGAGGGGGAGATGGGGGGAGGACAGTTTCTCACTTGGGCAGGGTGGGTTGGGCAGGGAGCTGACGTTGGCTAACTCAGATTCTTGGAGAAGCGACGAAGGGAGCAGGCAGAGGCACCAACGCTGGATCCTTCTAGGCCAGCATTTTGGTTGGGCGGGGAGGGGATGTGGGCAACCCGCATGCAAAGCGCAGAGCTCCGGGTTTTCATCGCTTCTTTGGACCCGGGTAGCTGGTTCTGAGAGAGACGTGGCGGGGGTCAAAAAGCCAGAGGTGTCTGCTAGCGCCTTTTCTGACTAACAGATTTTATTAAAAGGCACCACAGCTGGTGCCTTTGAATGAAATGGGTTTGTCATAAACATTGCCACCAGAGTCCTCCTGATTTTGGGCCGCCGTAGACCAACCGGGCTCTCCTGCCTCGTTGTAAGATTTCCCCTGGAACGTTTCACTTGATCTGGGTCCTCATCAGTGAAAGGCTTCGAAGATCAGCAATTCCCCTTTCCCCCGCCTTACCTTATAGGAGAAAGTTGCACAGAGCTAGCACAGAGAGCCGTGAAGGAGCACCCAGAGGATCTGCAGCTTAGGAGGCAGCAAGATTTCATGTACTGCACAAAATACTACATTGGCAGTACTTCAGCATCCCACAGGATATGTGGACTTCATAGCTGTAAAGTACCAGATCCTTTCCCACTGTAATTACACATGAATTTAACCTAAACTTTTGAAACAGGCAGGTTTTGTTTATCTTTTGGGGAAAGCAAAGTTGAACCTTTAACTCCTCCAGAGGTTTTGACCTTGGAGAAAAACGGTTCTGGGCTTCCATTATATTTTTGTTTCCCCATGTACCCAGGAGAAAAAAAGTTAGGATAAATGCACCGATTTGGATCACTGCCGTTTTTTTTTTTAGCCCTTTGAGTCGTAATAGTCAAATGGCTCCTGTTTGTTGCAACCACCCTAGCCACCCTAATGCTCGTTTCTCCGATCTTGAGGTCTGCCTCTGATTCCTTTCTTTGTGCAATTCATACAATGTGGACCTCCAGGGACAACCTGCGTCTCTCTTCCTCCTTCTGATATTTACCTGTTCAGAGCAGAGATGAGGGAGCATCTTCTCCCTTGGCATCAGCTGGATCGGGCCCCAGCTGGCTGGGCAGGGCAGCAGAAAATCTGGCTTTTCTACAAGGAGGGTGAGAAAAAGCAGCAAGGGCCCTCTGCGTATGCTCAGAGACTTCAGCTCTTCCTTTCTTGGCTGCTGGCATGGGAAACCTGGCATTGCAACCTGGCTTTGCTCCCCTCCCCGCCACCCTCCAATGCAGGCCTGTAAACTCCAAATTCATTTATTTCCAGAGTCTCAGCAAGGGAGTGAAACAACGGAACAAATTGCTGGACGTATTCTTGAATCCAAATTTGGTGTTTCCTTCTGGAAACCAGGAATGGGGGAAACCAGAATGGCTTGAGCCGCTCTGCAAGTTTCAAAATGACTCTACATATTCTCAGAGGCACTGCTGCCCCCTGGGGCAAAAATTGACTTTTATATTAAAGGTAGCCTCTAGGAGGGGGCGGGGGCTGCTTCCAAAGCCCCTTGCCACCCGGGCACATTTTGTGCAACATCCCCCTCCCCGCCAGATCCCCGGCTGGGTCATAAGCTTTTATCCCCTGCGCACGTGATCGCCTTTTCCCATCGCCCTCCCGGGAGGGCTGTGCAATTAGCCGGTGGCTTTGAACCTCGAGGACCAGAGCCAGGAGCAGAAGGGGGTGGAAGGAGGGACCTAATTAGCGGCATTTGCCCCCTGCCAATTGTTGCTTCTCCTGGCGGGTGGCCGGTGGCCTTTTCTGTCGGAAAGGAGGGCAGGCTTTGGTCCCCCACCGTCCCCCAGCCGCTCCATCTCTGCCGCCCCACCCTTTGGCCCCAGCGCGTTCCTGGGGGACGCCTCATTTTCCCTTTCGCTCCGGGAGGGGGAAAGAGAAGTCGCTCGACACGCGAAGCGAGCGTGGGCTAATCGCCCCCCCGCGCGGAAAAAAGGCCCCAGCCGTTCATCCGCTGCACATCTGGCAGAGAGCGAGCTTCTGCGCTCTGTTGCCAGGGCTGGCTGAGGAGGATGGGGGGGCGGACCGGTGCATCTGGGGAGCCCCAGGTTGGAAACCTGGTGCAGAAGTGGGTCTCGGGGGAAGGGCTGGGCTCGCTCGCCCCCATCCTCCCGGACGGCCCACTCATTTCAGCGAGCAGAACTCATCAGCTCCCTTATGTAACTTGGCGGGTTTCTCTGTCTTCGTAGCTAACGTTTATTTGTCCCTCAAAGCCACCGCCTTGAAACTTTTCAGCAGAACTGCCCTGTTCAGGGCTCCTCTATCTGCCTCGAAGTTGCCAAGGGAGGGGGACAAGAAGGGGATCCTGTCGTCACGTATGGGTGGTGGGCTTCTGGAAGGCTTTGTGGCAACTGCTCCCAACCTGGCTGTCTCCAAAAATGTTGCATTGTACTCCCCACACCCCGCCTTTGTGGCTGGGGATTATGGGGTTTGTGTTCATCCCATCTGGGGTATGCCAAGTTGGGGAAGGCTGGTCATAGAGCGGGACAGTTAGAAACCGTATGGACCGTGCAATTTTTCTGTGCCAGGCAGTGTGTGTTTGTGGGCAAGTGCATTTTGAAAGGCGAGGGCTGCTTTTATGCAAAATGCAAAAATGCATCTTCTCATCTGGCAGAGGACGCTGCGCTTCCCAGCTAGTGCTGCTGCTGAACACACAACCTGCCCGCCTCCGTGCCAGCCTGCTGGGCGAAGGTCTGCCTCTCCGGGTAAAGCAACATGTCTAATAACATGGCCAAGATCGCAGAGGCTCGCAAGACGGTGGAGCAGCTGAAATTGGAAGTCAACATCGATCGTATGAAGGTAAGGTCACTTGCAGAAGGCATGGAGTGGGCCCCAAACGTCTTACGCCCACCAAACAGATGCCCAGGGCCGCTCCTTAAGTACTGGGGTGCAGTAGTCTAGCTTCGGTGTGCCACAGGCGCACGGTCCTGACTGCCAGGGGCTTTCACGCTCTCTCCCTCGCTCTCTGTGGCAGGTGTCCAAGGCGGCAGCCGATCTCCTGGCGTACTGCGAAGCACATGCCAAGGAGGATCCTCTGGTCACTCCGGTGACCTCTTCCGAGAACCCTTTCCGGGAGAAACGGCTGTTCTGTATCGTGCTGTGAGCCAAGGCGGTGGACGGAGGACCCAGCCAGGTGGCCCCCCCACTTCTCTTGACGCTTTCTTTGATAAGACTCCCCCTCCCCAACCTGGTTCGGCCGAGAAAAAATATTGGGATTTAATAGGGAGCGACGGGGATGTGCATATACCATATTCTTCTTCCACTATCTTTGATATGATACTTATATATCAATGCCGGAAGCTTCAGCTCCCGAGTTAGGTCTTATTCCTCTTCTAACCTCCCTGTTTCTAATGTTCAGTCCTTTCTGATTTCAGGACTGCCTCTTTCGTGCTGAACATGCAGCGCTGTATAACAAGGGGAACAGCCTGGCTTTAACTGACACAATGCAAGCCACCAGTCCTCATCGTTACTGAGATCCAGTTGCTCGGAAGAGAAACCGCAAATAATTCCACGCGAATTCTCCTTGAGCTGGTTTATTCTAATAAATGTTTAGTCATTTCTTCCCCCCTTCCCTCTTCTGTTTTTCATCCAAACATCTACGCGTCTACGCAGTAACCCATTAAACATCCACAAGAAACAAATGGCTTCCGAATCACTTATTCAACTTTTCTTTGGGAATTGACTGAAAAGCCTTCTATTATCATAAAGCCATTACTATCAACTCCAGAGATCTGGACACGAAAGTTACCGGAAAGATGGCTTTCAGAGCCAAACCCCATTTGCAAATAACAACATTGGAAAAATACTGCAATCCAGCCGCCATCTGGAGAGGCCGCCGGTCGCTGTTGGCATACGAGGCACCCTTGTGCAGAATTCCACGTGGTGCCTCCCCAAACGCTCTTTTTAGCATTAATATATATATATATATA